TCTATACTCACTCTCACTTTGCGAAAAAAGTGTTTTCTCTACAATCGAAATGAGTAAGTTCTTTAAAGGGGAACTTGAGTTGCAGAGAAAATAGAAGAGCTTGCTGGAAGCTTTCAAATGTAATATTCTCACGCACTAATGTTTCTACAGTTCACATTAAGAACTTGGGTTAACGTGGGATAAAATTACAAGGATTTTATCTCCCTGGATTTGAAATTCACTTGAATATGTTCATTCACATACTGAACATATCCACCTGTGCTTCATATATTTTTTGATGAAAATTGACCATACAGAAGAAGCTACCGAAAGCACAGATATGGGGGAACCAAAGCACTATGATGAGCAATGCTTATTCAGCTCTTTTTAGAGAAAAGAAATTAGTGGAGCCATGATTAATCTCTTGGCTACATTCATATTTTTTCACTCTTGGTCTATGAACTGCAGCAACAAGAACTTCTAATAAATGGATGTTCTTGAGTTTAAATGAAGCATATGATTACACTGTGCTTTGAAAGCAAACTTGCGTTATTTTATTGTAACTAGTGTTCAGAGCCATGCTTCCTGATTGTGTTTTGGAAAGAGAGAGACTAGAACGTTAAAGCAGAATGTTTCTTTCCACTTTGCATGATCTGTATTTGAGGATATAAATCCAATCTGTGCACTATCCTGTCAGATGGTGGTGTCAGAATGGTATATCCAGCCATACTTTGTTAACAATATGTGGTTTTTTTTGCTTTTCTATGAATGCAGTTTTAGTATCACAAAGGTCAGAGCTGTTTTAAATCAAGTCATGAAAAAAGTGACAGTGGGCTCGGCCTTGAAAGCTATTTTCTGTTGACTGGCCTAAGGAAAGAAACTGCAGGTTAGAGTTACTTTTTTTTTATTTTTACATGTTAAGGTTCACTTACTACTTCAACCAAAGATAAAAAAAAATTAGAGAAAGTGCTACTGCTTGGAAATTGCAAGTAGGACACAACCTTATCTAAACCATTTGCTTTAAGCAATAGACTAGTTAAGAGTTTGAATTCTTAGGCGTTAACAACTTTTTTTCCCCGTTACTAGTGTTTATCATCTTCCAAACTGATTTGTTACTAGCACTCCCCAAAATTGGGATTGCTGATTCTCAGCCTGGTTATTAAATATTTTCAATTAACTCTTCATGTTTTTAATGTAATACAGAGTTGTTCAGTTTTGAGCTGTGTTAGCCATTGTTTTTAAAACTGAGGCGAAGTTGCAAAAAATAGTTTTCACTTCAGGAGATTTTAACTCTATTTGTTGAAGTAACTAAACTAATTGTAACGTTGCCCTGAAAAATGTAAACATACAATTTCTCAATAGAGATGCCTGCTTGCCAGGTAAACAGCCATTGCTGTTTTCAAAAACTTCCGCACCATTTATGTGCTTATAATTTGTCATAAATTGTATAATTTTTACTTTACTTCATCCAATAGCACACTTAGTATAGTGCAGTACAAATAGCAGGACAAAGTGTCTGTCCGGAGATGCTCACAACCTGGAAGTGATAGCACAGCATAGGTGAGGATGGGACGAAAAATGGGGAGAACTAGCGTATCTGTAATTATTCATCAAAACCTAATACAAACTACAGCAGTGCAAAATTCTGTATATGTTTATCTTTAAAGTGCTGTGATTAACTTCTCTTCAGTGTATGACTGTAAAAATGGGTCTTAATGAGATGAGAAAGGGGAAAAGGACATGTGGGTAAGTTTGGAACTTGCTCAGAAAACCTGATTAAAGGAACCATCAGCTTGGATGCAGATTTTGATAAAACAACTGGTTTGCTTCAATTGGCTTCAATTAACAGTAATTTAGAAACTCGGATTCACACCTTATCTCTCAGCTCTTTATCCAAAATAAAACGTACACACTGGGGGGGAGCGAGTAGCATTCTGAAAGGCTGACACGAATCAGTTTAGTTCTGTGAACGATCGCGTTCACTCTTGCACAGAGGGAGAATGTCTTAGGAACAGATTTTTTTTTTTTTTTTTTAAATTTCAGGTGAGCTATTTGATTTTAAGAATGGTTACAGTATAAAGAACAGCAGCTCCTAATTTTCCATACAACCTTGGGGTGGCTTTAGAGGGAATAACTGGGAAGACAGACTAGTTAACTGACATGGTGTATTTAATCCTTTCCTTCTCTGAGATGGCAAAGATGGCCTGTAGAAATGCTATTCGTAGCTTGATTAGGGTTCCTATCTCCAGTATGGTGAATGGATTACGAGACTTGAAAGTAATTCTGCCTGTGAAGGTGATTTACCAGGATGCTGATCGTTTGCGTTTGTAAAGTGTTTGGAGTTTCCCTAAAATGAAAGGTGTCATGGAAGACACAGAACACAGCTGCTTCTCATAGGAACTTAATTCTAAATTTGCTTCTGTTTCATTGAAACTATAGAGGAATGTTAGCTGAAACACCTCGACAGTTACATGAATTAATGTACTTGAATTTTGTTTTGTATGTCAAGAAATCAAGTTGTTTGTGGTTCTACTAAGTTCTTTAACAAATATTACTTGGAGGAAACTAACACAAAACATTGAAATACTTGTTTTCTGGCCTGTGTTCTTTGAAAACTACCATCAGTAGTAACTCTGCATGAAGTCTCTTAGTAGCTTTATCATTGCAGATACTACAACTGAGTAATTCTGAGATCCTTGAGATTTATAGACAAGGTATCGTGAACTTTCTTCTTTGGTTTCTTAGTTTCTATATAGAACATATAGAAGATTTTACAGTGACGCTATTTTTGCTTCTAGGAATTTCTGACTAGTGGCCAGGTTGACACAAGTACTAAAATAGTTAATAATCAGAGTTGCTTTGGTACTTCTGAAAATTTTCCTGTAGATCTTTACATACATTCAGTCTCGTTTCCTCTTAATTTCTAATTTATAGTTGTGATATGCATCCTAACACCGTGATCGTCTTTCTCCTCTTAGGAGCTATTGCTGAATTCACTGAAGTTGAGGGATTAGTGCTTAGCAACACCTGCTAGCAGCACTGCTTGTAGATTGTGAAATTCATTGAAGTGGTCCGTATTAGCACTGTTACATGCAGGACTTTATGGCGTTATTTCTGAAAATAGTGTTAATGGTGGGACTCATGGAATAGGTAACTTGTTAGCGACTGTCTTAAAGCTTTATCTAGTAAAAGCTGGTAGGAGTATGAAACTTAAAAGGCTAGTAGTGTGTAAACAGCTAAATCGTATCCTTTAAGGAGTACATATGATGGTGCTTTGGTCTTTGATCAGAGACACTCAGTCACTGCAGTCTCAACCCACTTCCTTTGGACTTTTGAGAAAATTTCTTAGTAAGCTCCTTCTAATATAGAGACTGCCCTTCATCCTGTGATAACAAGGGGAAAAAGTCTTAACTAAAATATTTAATGGTTGTAAACCTCTGTTAGTCTTTCTGCCTTCTATACTTCTGCTTGAAAGTGTTACGATTTCTTTTAAGCATGTATCAAAGCTTAAAATAAAGATACTGTCTGCTTTTAGTTGATGTAGGTAGTGTTTGGCTCTACAAAGGATTAAGTAGTTGAAAAGAAACCTTATTGTTCAAGCAGCGCATCATTTCTGAATTGGCACACTGCAAAATTAATGATCAGAAATTCAGCTTTTAATCCTCTGAGGTTATACTCTTTATGCAACAGGCATTAGACCATTATAGTCTTGTAACAAGATGTAGCTCTGATACTTGCTATTTAAGAAGCTTCCTCCTCTTTTCTTGAGGAAGAGCCTACCTTTTCGTTCCTAGTTCCACCTCTTCTCGCTCCCCAAATAACTTTGTGTTGTCAAATATTTTTACGTTTCTGCCATTTTGCACCATTCAGAAGTTCGGGTGACTTGTTGCTGATGGTTCTGTAGTTGAGCAAGCACCTACTGTAATGACAGCAGCATGCAGAGTGAGAACTCCTGTATACACAAAATTAGGAAGGCTGGTTAATGTTCCATGTACTTTAAAAATTTAAACTTTCTTTTTGTTGGACAGCCTCAGTCACTTATAGACAGTGTAACTGGAATTAATTGTCTACCTGTGGAGAACTGAAAGGGAAAGGAGGGCTTATCACGTTGGCTGAAAATACCTGTCTACACTCCTAGAGGTGTCAAGCCATCTCTTGTATTTTTTCCCATGCTTCCTATCTCTGAAGAGCTCTAACCAAGCTTTTAGGTTACACCTTAAGAAAAGCAGCATGTATGTTGAACGTTATCTTTCCTGGCATCTGTAGCCTGTCAGCCATTCAGTCATTTAAAATAATACATCTAGGAGATGGAGGAAACTATTAATTTTTTTTCCCTGCCCCACTTTCCTCAACCCAAGGCATTCTTAAATAACAATTCTGTTTCAGTATTTTATCTGAGGACTTTCCCTGGCATCTGTGTTGGCTTACACAATCTGTTGTTGTGCTGTTCACGACAGGGATTCCTTAAATTAAAAACAAAATGGGATAAACTCTACTATAGGATATTAAAGGGTACAGAGGATATCATAAAAGATAGGATATTAAGATTTCATAGGTGACTGTAGCTGAATGCAAGAGGCATCTTCCTTGTTGAAGAGATGCTATGGAATTATTACAAGACTGACACAACTGTTGATGCTTAACTCACTAATTTGCCTATCAGTTGGAATCCAAATGCACAAAAATAGCTCAAGTATTTCAGCACAGGAGGTAAATTTCATGTAAATGTAAACACGTTATAAAAAGTTATTTCCAGATGGAGCGGATTACTCTTGTAGTAGTTGTTACATCAGGTTTCAAGTGTTCTCTTGAAAGTTGGGCAACATCTAGCTTCCTGTCCCACCTCATTTAAGAACAAAACAGACAGAAAGTGTGGTAGTTTTCTTAGTTAATGGTACAGCTCTGATATTCAGTAATGTGGGTAAAATGAGAGCGAAAATTACTAATAATTAGAAGTGCAACTCTTCATGAGACAAAACACGTTTGACTTAAACTTTTTCTCTTACTTTCTTTTTCAATAGAAACTATGTTCCAACTTCCTGTCAACAACCTTGGCAGTTTAAGAAAGGCCCGGAAAACTGTGAAAAAAATACTTAGTGACATTGGTTTGGAATACTGTAAAGAACATATAGAAGTAAGTATGACACCTACCAAGTGTTTTAGTTAGTCAACTGCTCCTAAATTAGTGGGACTGTGAGGTCTTCGGTGTCTGACTTTTGTTTTTTTTTTTCCAAGCTGCTTCATGAAATGTTAAATTTTTACTGAAAATTCTGAAGACTTTCTGGAATGCCCTGCATCCAGTTCTCGCACCTTGTTTTGATGTTCTCATCAGCTTCTGAGAAAGGTTCTGGGATTCCACTTGAGCTTTATTGTTGAGGCATTGCTACAACTACTAGCAGAGATGTGTGCTACCTCTGCATTGCTTTTAAGTCCCACACTTAGGTGGGGGGATGCTCTTCAGCCTATAGATGACTGGTCTGACATGTACTGAAGACAGGTTGTTTTTTTGTCTATGTTGGATTCCTAAAAATAGAATTCACGAAACACGAATGTAGCATGAACTAGGTGTGGTATAGGATGTTCCTGGGGGACAGAAGATGATTTTGAAGTTTCCATGAAGTGTTTGTCAGTGCTGAACAGTAGGTCATCGAGTTGAAGAATCACTTCTGTTCCTGCAGAGGTTGGTTCCTAGAAGGGAAGAGTATCTGTGCTACTCTCTTCTGGACAAACTTTGTATCTGTCATCTCAAAAATGTAGCTTTCTCTCTCAAACTTCTATACTGTCAACTTCACAGTCTTTTTAACGCTTTAGATTATAACTTGTTTGCTTTGGCTTTTCTGTTAGTGTCTCTCTAAAGAGCATTTAAGTGAGATGCTCCAAGAGGAAAAAAAATATCTGTCCTTCCTGTTCGGAGAATTTGTGGAACGACTATAGTCTTTAAGGGTAAAATTTTGAATAGGGATAATGTTACTTTTAAGCACCCATTTCAGTGGAAGTACTACTTTTGAGCCCTTATACTGCTGGCATGTACGCCAAAGACTAAATGAAAAGTACTTCATAAATTCTTTTGAACTGCAATTGGGCTACTTAGACATCGTATACTTAGTCAAAAACTCCTAAAACTTTTATCTGAATTAATGTCTCAATTTTTTTCTTTTTAATCAAAGTTTGTGGTGAAGCACCTCTATGATATTAAATGTTGAGCAGCAACCAGATAATACTCTTTTAATGACTGCTTCTGAAAATGGGGCAGGTATGTAATTACAGACTTGGGTTAATCAGGAGGATGCATTTTTGAAAATTTTTCTTCAGGTGTTTTGTGTCATTGAGACTGTTTGCAACTTTCCACCTCCAAAGATTGCATCTTAAATACACAGATGTCCTTGAATTAATGATCTCTACTGTTTGACAGCAGCACTTGATTGGAGTGCATGGATGCTTACAAGAGTTATGTAAGGGAGCAGTTGGGCTTTGGTTTTGATTCTTTATACTCTCTTCCCATCTTCCCCTTCTCCAGGATTTTAAGCAGTTTGAACCTAATGACTTTTATTTGAAAAACACTACATGGGAAGATGTAGGATTGTGGGACCCATCGCTTACAAAAAATCAGGTTGGTAATAGTTTATGTTGACACATCAGATTCTGAAGATAGTTCATACTAAATGACGTTTCACAAATATGCCAGTAGTTTCCTGTGGTTTTTTATCAGTTTATCAAACAGTCCTCAGTTTAAGGGACAACAAAACTGTTTTTATTTTAGAAGTAATAATATTGATCTTCATTTAAATACTGATGGCCGAATATTGGAGTAATGATTGTTCAAGAAATCTTACACACCCTTTGACAATTGCATAGTAGCAGCCCATCTGTTTTCCTGCTCAGCACAATTTCACCACCTTTCACCATCCGAAAGAATAACCATTTTATACGGTTTCTTGATAATGCTGTTATCTTTCCCTAAATCCATTTCATCATCTGTTTTCATCATTCAGAAAAATGTTAAAAACTCATCTAACTGCTGCTTTTTCTACTGTTGTTGTAGCTCTGTTAGCTGTCTGTCACATCAGAGGATTCTCATAACCTGGCTGTATCTGAAGTTATTTAGTTTAGGCATATGCAGTTACATACAGCAGAATGAAGTGACACTGGAAGTCTTGCTGCTTAGATGATTCCGAGCCAGTTATAAAGCTCAAGAGATTTGAATTAAGCTAGAAATGTAGGGAGGGAACGATGCTGATTAAACAGAGGGGGAGGGGGACTCTGCTGATTAAACATATTAAGGCAAGTTGTGTGGTCTGCAATAGCTTCTCCTGAAGGAACAATATAAAGTAATACCACCATAAAGTAATACCACCACCAATGAAACAGTGAGAATGCAAGAATTCTCTCTATAAGATAAGGCCTTTTTCAGCATCTGAAAGATCAGGTATTGCTTGTTATAGGAAAGGGGGAGCTATGACAGATTGCTGGCATGGTGTTTGTCTAAAAAGTTCCTTTATTACTGTGTTCCATAAAATACACTGATGTCCTTTTTCTTCTAGTTCGTTCCAGAATAAAAATGGTAATTTAAAAGGGGGACAGCTTTTGTTTAGTTTGTTTTGTTGTATCTTGTCTCCAGCCTACCAGATATCTGAGGCTCCAGACGGTGGGCAGAAGCATATATACCTACTTACTTAGGGAGAGTGCAATCTCTAGCTACTTTAAATGATCCATGTGTAACTTGATGCACAAGACTTGTTTGACACACATGATGAAATGTTCGTACCTATTTAAATTTTCGTGTTTTATCTCATCTGAAATTCCAGATCGCTTGTGGCTATCTCTAAAGCTAACGCACAATGTAATTTTAGTTTCCATTGTAATAGTTGACTAGAATTAAATCAGCAACATCTTAAAGCTACCAAAGATCAAGGTAGCAGGGGGCAGTATGCAAGTGTTAAATTTTCAAACACCTTTTTTTTCTGATCCAAGATTTTTTTTTGAATTGGGATTGTGCTTTGATCAGAAGGAGAAAACTTGGTTGCTTTAAGGGGTTGTGTGGATTTAGTACATAACTTGGTAAGCTTAACTAACTCCACTTGTATACCAATATAAATAAGTTTTGAAGAGCATCTTTTATCTTAAAGTTTGTAATAGATTAAGACACTGAAAAAAATAAAGGGTATATATCAATCTTTTGTGTGTGCGTGTGTATATATATATATATATATATATATATACACACACAAACACACACGCACGCACACACACGTTTGGCAAAATGAGATTCGGTGAAGTCTTTCAGCTCACCTGAGAATGCAGCTTCTGCTGGCTGGTGTGGAGAAAGATGCTCATGATTTAGCCTTGCATTCTGGGTTTATGGTGTGGACGTCTAAATTGGCACTTAACATTTCATTCATCGGAACTGCTTGTTCAGACAGTTAGACTTCTAAAGTCAAAAGCCGCAGAGAAGGAAGTTAATGTAAGAGTTGTTGCAGTGGGTTTTAAGACTTATATTTAGGAACGTTACTGTTTAGGGAAGATCACGGATATTCTTTTTCTAAAAACTGCTCTTTGATATTTAGTTTTTGCTTTGTTCTTTGTTTTAAGGACTATCGGACAAAGCCCTTTTGCTGCAGTGCGTGTCCATTTTCCTCGAAGTTCTTTTCTGCCTACAAAAGCCACTTCCGGAATGTTCATAGTGAAGACTTTGAAAATAGGATTCTCCTTAATTGTCCTTACTGTACTTTCAATGCGGACAAAAAGACTTTGGAAACGCACATTAAAATATTTCATGCTCCAAATGCCAATACACCGAGTGGAGGCATCAGCACTTTTAAAGATAAAAACAAACATGATAGCCTTAAACCTAAGCAGGCTGACAGTGTAGAACAAGCTGTTTATTACTGTAAGAAGTGCACTTACCGAGATCCTCTGTATGAAATAGTTAGAAAGCACATTTACAGGGAACATTTTCAGCACGTTGCTGCTCCTTATGTAGCAAAGGGAGGCGAAAAGTCACTCAATGGTGCAGTTCCGTTAAGTTCCAGTACCCGGGAGGAGGGTAGTATTCACTGCAAGCGATGCCTTTTTATGCCGAAATCGTATGAAGCTTTAGTACAGCATGTGATCGAAGACCATGAACGTATAGGATATCAGGTAACAGCGATGATAGGTCACACTAATGTAGTGGTTCCAAGATCTAAACCTTTGATGCTAATAGCTCCAAAACCCCAGGATAAAAAGCCTATGGGACTCCCTCAGAGGATGGGTCCCCTTTCCCCTGGAAGTGTTCGATCTCTTTCATCACAGCAGATGATGAACAGACTCACTATACCAAAGCCTACATTAAATTCCGCAGGAGTGAATATGATGTCAAACGTTCACCTACAGCAAAATAATTACGGAGTCAAATCAGTACCACCAAGTTATGTTGGTCAGCCAGGGGGAAGGCTAAACCTAAGTGGCAATGCCCCAGTTTCTATTCCACAGCAATCTCAAACAATGAAACAGTTTTCAAGTGGAAATGGAAGGCCTTACACTCTTGGAGGAGAACAGAGATCACAGGCCTCAGCAAGATACTCTCTGCAGTCTGCCAATTCATCTTCTCTTTCATCAGGTCAGTTGAAACAAACATCGTTATCTCAGTCACAGGCAGGTTCAAGAGTATTAGGTCAGTCTGGCTCAAAATCTCCTGTAGCTGCTACAGGTCCTTCTGCTGTCAATACATCGTCCACACAAAAGTGGAAGATCTGTACAATCTGTAATGAGCTGTTTCCTGAAAACGTGTATAGTGTCCACTTTGAAAAGGAGCACAAGGCTGAAAAGGTGCCTGCAGTAGCTAACTATATAATGAAAATACACAATTTTACTAGCAAATGTCTATACTGTAATCGCTATTTACCTACTGACACGTTGCTTAACCATATGTTAATACATGGTCTGTCTTGTCCGTACTGCCGTTCTACCTTCAATGATGTTGAAAAGATGGCCGCTCATATGCGAATGGTTCATGTTGATGAAGAAATGGGACCTAAAACTGATTCCACTCTGACCTTTGATTTGACATTGCAGCAGGGTAGTCACACAAATATACATCTTCTTGTCACAACCTACAACCTGAGAGATGCTCCTGCTGAATCTGTAGCATATCATGCTCAGAATACTCCCCCAGTTCCTCCAAAACCACAGCCGAAAATCCAGGAGAAGTCTGATGTACCTGTAAAAAGCTCTCCACAAGCAGCAGTTCCCTACAAAAAAGACGTGGGTAAAACTCTCTGTCCTCTGTGCTTTTCAATCCTAAAAGGACCCATCTCTGATGCACTTGCACATCATTTAAGGGAGAGACATCAAGTTATTCAAACAGTTCATCCAGTTGAGAAAAAGTTAACTTACAAATGCATTCATTGCCTTGGTGTATATACTAGTAACATGACTGCCTCAACTATAACGCTGCACCTTGTACACTGCCGAGGTGTTGGGAAGACTCAAAACGGCCAAGACAAAGGTAATTCATCATCTCGGCTAAATCAGTCTCCAGCTATAGCACCTGTAAAACGTACTTATGAACACATGGAATTCTCGCTAATGAAGAAAAGAAAAATGGATGATGATGACTCCCCCTCTGCCTTTGAGGAGAAGCCAGAAGAACCTGTAGTTCTAGCTTTGGACCCCAAGGGTCACGAAGATGATTCTTATGAAGCCAGGAAAACATTTCTTACAAAGTATTTTAATAAGCAACCGTATCCCAGTAGGAGAGAAATTGAAAAGCTGGCTGCCAGTTTGTGGCTATGGAAATCTGATATTGCTTCTCATTTTAGCAACAAAAGGAAGAAATGTGTTAGAGATTGTGAAAAATATAAACCTGGTGTGCTGCTTGGTTTCAACATGAAAGAATTAAACAAAGTTAAACATGAGATGGATTTTGATGCTGAATGGCTGTTTGAGAATCATGATGAAAAGAATTCCAGAGTCAATGTTAGTAAGACTGTTGATAAAAAAATAAACATAGAGAAAGACAATGAAAGTTCCTCAGACAGCTATGAAAACATAGAAGAAGAATACAATGAAAGCAGTAGTCCATTTGGTCAACGAATTTCTGACATGGGTGGGAAAACCTCTTCTGATAGCATAGTGGAGAACCCAGAGGACAGCATATCCAAGGAGACTGTTGAGGAAAATACTTTACAGTCGTCTCCGGAGAAGAGCGATCAAAAACAACAGGAAAGTTCTAAATACGAAGAGATTATTTCTGCTGAAGAACCAACAAAACTAGTAGGTGATGTTTCAGACAGTGAAGGTGATCAGGATGATCAAGATGATGCTGCTGAATGGAAAGATGGCGCTTCACAATCTGAAAGTGGGCCTGGTTCTCAGCAGGTTTCTGATTATGAAGATAATACATCGGAAGTAAAACCAGAGGTGTGGACAGATGAATCCTCCCAAAGTGAAGATGCTGGCAGCAGTAAACCGCCTGTAGAAACAAAAGAGGGTGGATCTGAAAGTGATGAAGAACAGTCAAAGTGGAAGAATCGTTCCTATGGAAAAGTAGAAGAGTTTTGGTCTAAGGACCAGTCACAGTGGAAAAATGCATCAGAGATTGAGGAGAGCTTGTCAAATCAGCAGATGGAATGGCAGAATAGCACAATTGACAGTGAGGATGGAGATCAGTTTGACAGTGTGACTGATGGAGTAGCAGAACCAATGCATAGCAGTTTAACTGGTGTGGAGCTGAGTAGCCAGCAAGCATAAGCTGCGCAATTCAGAAGCGGCAGTAATATGATCCAATCTGCAACTGTCTAAACACTTTCATTTCAGTATGACTGCAAAGCTTAAATTCTAACTGGTACTGCCTTTTAAGTGCTAGGTCATGGCGAGCGGTGGTTGTGGCCACTACTATTCCAGTGGTTGTTTAAATATGCTGTTGGCTAATCTTGCTTGAGAGTATCTGCTGGGATGAGCACAGTAACTTAATGTGAAAACGGATAAGCTGGTGGCTCTAGAATGCACACAATGAAAAGCAGAGGTTTATTTTATCTGCATTTTCAACATTTATTTCACTCTTGTACATGTTCAGTTGTATGTCTTTTTAAACATTACCCTTTTTCACATGGTAGTATAGGGCCAACATATGAGCTACCAGTTCAACGTGTATAGTAGACTATGGGGAAATTGATTTTTTTCATGTATCATTCTGAATAGTTGAAATGTATATTTGTACAGTCTTTTAGACCTATTCAAGTGAAGCTTATGAAATTGTTCTTGTGTACCCATCATAGATTTGTTTCTCTTTTTTTAGTGTTGCCCTGCTGTGTAATAAATGCTGTATCTAGTTTACCTAGCAAAAGCTTGAAACTGCTATAGTATGAATTTTGACAAACTTAGTTTTTGCACATAACCTTGTACAATCTCAAAACAGAGGCCAGCAACATAAAAAAAATATATCTGGACTCTATTGTATTATAGAATTTTCTTGTTCTGAATATCCTTGACATTACAACTGATGACAAACGTATTTCAGAGCCATTTTCTGAAATCTTTTAAGCTAAAAAAAAAAAAAAATCACATGCAAGAAACAAGTTTGCAGCTACTAATTTTGACACCTTTTAGATCTGTATAAAAGTGTATTGTGTTGAAGCAGCACACTGAAACGAAAGTGCTGTGTTTTGGATATTTAGTTTTATCTTTAGTTAACACCAACAAGGTGTTGTATTCATTTATACCATCTAATATATGACACACTGTTGTAGTATGTATAATTTTGTGATCTTTATTTCCCTTTGTATTCTTCATTTAAGCATCTAAATAAATTGCTGTATTGTGCTTAATGTAAACATTTGCTTTATTACATGCAAGTGCCATGTTCCTGTTTGTTAAATCCTGCTTTACTACATCCACTCCTTTTTTGGAAATGTACACACCCTAGCAGAGATGTGGATCACTTGGTACGTTCTTACTGGAGACGAGGACAGGAAAAATTCTACAGAACTAACTTAAGCTGAGTTTAGTGTTCTAGAGCACTAGTTTATCAATAGGATTGCAGTGATTTGCCAGTTCTGTATCCTGGAGAAACAACCTATGAATGTTACTTGCATTTTTCATCGCTTCATACTTTCCTCAGTGAAGATCACTTTTATGGATTAAATTATCTAGAACTATGTCTCCCTCTGAAGCATTAAGTATTGAGGGAAAATAAGACTGAAGGCTTTTGAATACTTACTGTTTTAAAGGTGAAGGAACACACCTTGTATAGTGTGAGTGATGGATAATTTTTTTCTTGCTTTGCTTTGAAGAAAAATTAATTTGGATGTACAATCAGTTTGTTAAAATTTGTGACCGGTATGGTCAACCCAGTCCTGCACTGGGGCAAGTGCATAGTACAATGGACAGTTACGTAAGCAAAACCTCCTTGAGATAATGGTTTACTAAAGAGCATCTAAATGTGAGGAGAACAAAACTATAAATTACAGCAAGAAGTTTGATTTAAGCAGATGCCTAGTAAAATATCTACGTACCTAATTTAGATCTTGTAAAATTTCAAAAATTGATCTGTGAAATTTCTGATAATGCTGGAGGAAATAGTTCTATTCTTAAATGTTTTAAACAGCCGAGCCATTTGACGGGTATCTTGGGAAAACATTTATGTATCGCCACAGCAGACCTGGGCAGGTATAGCGTGTACTTTCCATTAGTATAGTGAACAAGCTATTATATACGCCAAAGACCAGAATATCTGTATGCTGTTGTGTTCTGCAACTAACTTTTGCTGCTGGCACTCTTTGGAACGACCGGTACTATATTTTGTTGGACTAACCATTTGTGTGAAGTGATGACTGAAAGCAGTTACCTTTAGCAGACGATGGTTTAGATTTGTCTTCTCGTCTTCCTTTCCCCTTTCACAGGGGGAATGTGTACTTTAGTTCTGCTTTTTTTTAACTGAGGGGAGCAGAAGTTGGACTAGGTCCCAATTTTGAAGTGAGTGTTAGAAGATAAGCGTTTAAGAACAATACAGAAAAGATGCTTTTGACATCATTTACATCAGCAAGAGTTCCTTGTGCTTCTCTGCTGTAACAGAAAACTTGGGCCTCAGCTCTCATTTTGTTAGTAGGCATTTTAAACTGTTTCACTGAGAATAATTTTTCAAGAAGTCAAGTGAGAATTTCTTAGCTACTGTTTCTAGATGTCAGCTGGGTGGAACTTTTTTTTCACACCAAAACTAGCCCTTGGAAGTCCTAGGAAAGGGGATTTTTTTTTTTTTTTTTTTTTTGCTAAGACAACTTGGTTACAGTCTTTTCTATGTATGTGAGCTGTTCTATTTCACAGTGGCTTACCGTCTGAACACATGTTACATTTCAAAATTCCTATTTTGTGTCATTCACCTACACTTTAAGAGATCTTAAAAATAAGGTTTTTATTTATTTATTTATTTAAGCCGGTTGTGCACTCAGGTTTTTTTACTCTGCTGGCTGAAGATAGCTCTTTTTAATGGCAGTACAACAAACCTTACCTTTTAAGTAAGTAATGAAATAAGAAGTGGCTATCTGTTTTCAAATCTGCATCATATTTATCTCAGTATCTGGCAGAGCTACTTCACTATTAGGGAATTCTAAACTGAATTTTATAGAGTTTCATGGAAATTTAAGCTTAATCTCTGCTCCCGCTTAGTCAGTAAATAGTGAGACTATGAAATATCAACTGTTTAGAAATGCTTTATTTACTAGAAAAATTCTATGATAGGAAATGCCATTTTGTGTAATGATTAATTTAAAAGTCTTACATTAAAAATGGCCCTGCTTAACAGGAATATGAGTAAGGATGGGGAGGGTGGGGTTTAAGTATCACCATAAACTTTCTAATATTTGAGAGCAATTGCTCTAAAATCTGAATTTTAGGTTGGGCAATAATTCCTTTCTAGATTTGAGGCTAACCACGCAAATTTTCTTGTTTTTGAGGAAGCCAGGAAGAAGAAGAGGTAAATGGCCTCATAAAACTGGAGAAACCTTCAACCCCATTTGTGTAATCTTATCACATTATAATTGTATGAGAGGGAAGTTACCCCTTTTTACATGTATTACTCAAGTTCTGTAGCAGAACTCTAGTTACATGACAGCTGTGCTCACGCAGTAGCCAGCTGAAGCTTACAAATTCTCCTGCTTTCTTCAGTGGGAAACTGAGAAAATGGCTAGAGTCTCCAGGCTTTGTCCAGTGCAACAGAGCAGAAAGATTAACAACTAAGGAATTTGTTTCAGTTTACCTGAATTGAAGCAAAGCGGAGTGTTTTCCACCTTAAACAATGCTACCTGAAATCTAAAGGTTTAACAGGGGAGAATGAAGATATTGCTAGCATACGCATTGAATTTTAGCCATAAGATAGTTTTGTACAACAAAAACAAAGAGCTGGCATGACCTATAATTTGACTTTTGACCTGAAATACCTGATATTGGCAAGGACAGCCTGAGATTTTAGGAGCACTTGTTTTATATGATCCTTGTATTCTTATTTCTATTATTCATATGGGTTTGTAATAACTATAATTTTTAAGTCGCTTTTATTGAAGTGACCTATAGCTAAGATGCACTGCCTCAACAAGAACAATTTTCCTAGTTCTTTTAGTACATTTTCTTGTCTTTCCTTCCCTCCCCCCCCCACCCTTGAAGCATAGTTCCAGCCCGTAAGCTTTCATCCAAACTAAACAGTCACTTTCCAGCAGGAAAGAGAGACATCTTTGCTAAATTTCTCGTTTTCTAATAGCTGCATCATCTACTAATGCTACACTTGATCTCACAATTTTCCTTTGGGTACTGTGAATTAACCCTTTATCATGCAAGATGTTCTAGAAATATCTGTATTGACGTTTTATTCCACAAGCTCTTAATCATACTGAAAGTTCAAGTGACGTTTAATGCTGCCATCTCTGTTCAGCTGTAGTATTTCTGTAGCCAGACTTGCCAATTAAAGCTTGACTCTTTGATGTGTATTTCCAAGGCAAAACAGATGCCTGAATATCTGCTCAGTACTTTTTATAGAAACTTTGTATCATTCTTATCACCAAGAAATTTAGTAGACTTTAAATATCTACTAAGGTGGTCCAGTAAAAAATTTACTATTTTGTAGTATTTCAAACATTGCTATGGCAAAGCTTAAACCAAGCTTATTTCTCTTTTAATCAGCCAAAACAAAGAACAACAGAAAGATTTAAGGAGTATGACATGCATACTGCCTCTTCATTTTTGTTAATAAAGACCCTGATACTTGGATACACAGGTTGGTATAACTGGAGTATTTTGTCCCTTTCATAACTAATTTGCCTCTCTGTAATATCAGCTCATTTGTAATATCAATCCATTACAATAACCTGCACTGCAGGGACAGAGGCAGTGGCTAGGTCTGTCCTTTATGCTTTATATTTTAACTTACCTTTATCTTTCATCATCAGTCTCACTAATAAATATGAAAAGGTTGAGTTAATTCACTTCTGCATCAGAAAAGCATTCGTCTCCATGGTTACTCAAAGCCATGCAGCTTCACTTTCACTATAAGCCTGTATCTTTCTACAGATTTTGCACTGGGTCCTCCATCTTGAGTTTTTCCATTGGTATTTTTGTAACAAGAGCCTTTGTTTCTCCATATGGTGCTATATGCAAAGCCCATCATTTGAAACATTGTATTTCAGAAGTGATCTACTGTCTTGATCAATACCCTTTACTGTTGTCCTAGTGAGATTTTCTGTATGTATAAGGGCGAGAAACATCTTCTAAATTAAGGATATGACATCTCTTCCTAATGTTCCTTATTCAAACAATCTGGTGCTTTCCGTTTCCCTAGACCTGTTTCACAGTTAAAAAGTGGGGACATGAACTATATACTGTTTCTGGTTTTGGTGAAGTAGTATCTATCTCCATTACAAAACTGCACCTCCAAAGGTCCTTATCAGCTTTGCAGAAAGTTTATTTATATCATTCAAGTTCTCTAACACAACAGCTTTTAAAACCCTATTCTTATTTTGAAGAGGAGTGCTGAAAGCTTCAGCCATGTGCAGTTTATTAAATTTCAATATTGTGACACTGATTTCATGTTCAGTTGTAAAATGTAAACATTTATGAAGTATTAATACATTACATGACAGTTTTAACATGCTATACTAAGAGCATTCTTCAACCTTCTGATCGTTGTAGTTGTAAAAAGATTTTTAAAGCATGAAGGTACACAAAAACTGAGTTCTTGTACGTTTTCTTCACTGATTTGGTAAGTTTATGGAACAAACTAGTATCAAATAGTAGAAGTTCCAGCCTGTATATATTTGTGTGTGTGTGTGTGTGTGTGTTGTGGTTATATACACCCCCACCCACCCACCCACCCACAGGATGATCAAAAAGTTTAAGCTTCCCTTAAAGATGCTAACCCCAGATCTGAAATGTAACAGTTGCTTCTTCCTAATGTTAAAACAAAGTAAAAAACCTTTAGAACAAACTCGGGCAGCCTTTCGTAGAAAGCTGTTGGTAATCGAACCTTAATGGTTTTGATACTTTGTACCTACACAGTTCATAGGAAAAAAGTCTTCAGTTCTGTAGAGTTTAGGCAGATCATAGGAGCGTGCTGCTGGTGGATGGTGTCTCTGAAACAAAAGCAGGAGAGAAATTAATCTTGCTGTTAAAGAACAGGAAATAATATTTTAAGTAACTTCGTTCTTCATTCCCTGCACCAAATGAGGCAGAAGATGTGGAAGATGAAATGGCTGTATTAAATGTTTGGTAGCTTGCAGGCATGTCAATCAAAAAATTGAGCAGGGTAGCCTTTGTGGGAGCCTAATGTCAGCCATTCATCCCACCATAAAGGTGTAAGGTAAGAAACTGTGCTTGAATTCAGAACTACTGTTTCCTGTGTTCTGGCAAAAGATAATGATAGGCTCCAGATGGAAATATGCACGTTACCATGTTTTCAAACCATATATCCAACATACTACTTTTTTAATGTTAAAATGTTGTTTTAAGTTGCAATTCTAAAAAAACTTCCGCTTTATGCTCTGCTTTATGGCACCACACTGTCCACCCTCAGTTGTTTTTTTTTTTGTTTTTGTTTTTTAAATAAATGATTGGGTTCTCTTTCTCTACTTGCTCTGTGTCTCAGGAATATGATGTTTGATTTCATGCCCAGTGTCCTAGAATGGATATTTAACCACAGACTGTGGCAACATACCATTATTAAGAAGTAGTTTACAGCGCACAGTAGCAGCACATGCCAGTAGTGCTGGGTGTGAACAGCACAGGGAAACCAGGGGAAGTTACCTTCCTCAAAAAGCTAGCTTTAGCATGTTTTTTGTCTTTTATGCCAGCCAAATACAATTTTTGCTGCAGCAGCTTTCTTTGAAAACATGCTATTCTAAAACAGACAAGAACATATGGAGCTGAAATAGTAAAATTACAAAGTCATCTTAATTTTTTTTTTAAAACTCCTCCTTTTGCAATATGTAATTTCCAAATACTTGGGAATCCATAATGCTGTGAAAAGGTGAGGAACCTCTAGCTAGCAGATTCACCTTAGTTGCACAACAAGATAACAATGCTGAAAATGAAGGTTCACTCAAAAACATGGGCGACGTTGAGTTCCCAAGTCAGAGTTCTAATTAAGATTAATTTTAACAGAGAAAAAGACATAGCAGAACACCAGAATAATTGCCTTGAAGACCGTTCAGTGCTCATCTAGCACAGCAATGGTACCTATTTATTCACTGTTTTGTTTTTAATATATAAGGCATCTTGATCACCTAGATCTGCATGTGTACTCCACCGTGTACATGAGACATCTGTGAAAAGAAGTCAGCAGCATCCAGAACAGAAATTACTTCCAAATGTAAGTTACTGGCTCTGTAAACAATTCTGAAAATGTGAAGTTGTTTGCTTTCACACCTGATTCTACAGACTTTGTAATCATCTCAGCTAGACTGATACTGAACAGTTAAAAACGGAGCAGAACACTGGGGAAATCAGTTTTAAAGCACAGAAAAGAATGCAAATGAATTAGGAACATTGTAGGAAAAGACTGACTACAGAAGAAATATAGAGAGAATTTTGGGTTTGCTTTAAGAACTCAAATAATAGATTAATCCTAAATTGAGGAGATCAAATAGTGTTTCTGTAGTACAACAATTGAAACCTCTAGCTAAAATCAGGGTCTCGGCGGAAAATGGGGAGCCTATCCCTCCATATAGTTGTAGGTCTTTAGGATCTAACTTAATATATTTCCAGAGAATAGTTTGCTATTTAGATGCAATCTTCACATTTATTCGTATTTAATTCTCATTCATGTGTTTCGAGCTATACATCTGTTTACATAGTTTTCTTGATAGTATCCACTGTTAACTCTTCAGAACAGATACTGACTCTCCATGTATATCAAGGCACAATTTAAAGAAGTAGATACACATGTATACTGTGACACAGGTAACAGCTACCTAAGCTGCGTTGTTCTGCTGTCATTGTCAAAATAGGCAGGATGAAGGGGGATTCTGCTGACAAACTTGATTTGCACATCTACGAGAACAATACCATGTACTCGGAGAAAAGCACTTGCTAGCTAACTAGGATATACAAACTTTGCTATGGGGGAGAAAGATCCATACATTGTTAATCATCAGCAGTTGCACGTGGTTTTGTGGTGTTTACGTGCAGACCCAAATAAAAGGAGATAGATAGGCTCCTTTTAATGAGCAGAATATTGGAATCTTCAATGTAGAAGGTAACTCTCATTTCTTTTCATATAGGAGTGAAAACAGATGGTCAGTCACAACCACTGAACAAGATCAGAGGAAGACTCTGAATCAATGAAGTAAATACTAGCAACAAGGGTTACCTCTGCAGAACAGGCAAAAAAAAGCCAACCAAAAAAACTGTAACAGTAGTCTGTATTCACAGTGAAATACTGAAGTTTTCAGCACTTTCTAAAAAACAAAGGTAGAGAGGAAGAAAAGTTTAAAAAAAAAAACACCCTGATTTTCAAAATAAAACAAACTGTCCTTCATTTTGATTGTCAGTGGTCATAATAGTATCCCTGCCTTGTTTTCTCCTGTTATAAACAACAGTAATTAAAATTAACAGGCTAAGTAACAAAATGCTTGCAAAGAGCCCTGATCAGAGCAATCAAACTTACAAAGGACATGATCCTCTCAAACCTTCTTTAAAAGTACAGTCAGGGATTTCCTGTATTTCATGAAACCACTGTCCCACTGGGTTCCCTGGATGGTTATTTTAGATGTAATTATTCACAGCACTACCTGTCCAGAATTCCTCCAAAGAGATGATGCCATGACTGCAATGAGAATTCAGTTCTTTTGAGACTTCCCGTAATAATAATCTGATGCTTTGATGAGTACCTGCTTACGTGGTACCACAGATACTATCCTTCATAGATATAGTTGGTCCCATCTAACCTGCAGATACATGTTTTTTATACATGGCTCCTGATGCAGATAATTCTTGTGGATGACTTCCTGTGTGTAACTGTATGGAAAATACCCAAGAAAGTGACAAGTCCTGTTTTAAATCTGTCCACACCAAACCTTCATCAAGGCACACTCTAGTTACCAGTTTATATGTTAAACAAATTGCTTCAGTCTTCATTATCCTAAAGTATAGCTGCTGAATCAGTAGTAAATATGAGGAAAAGATAGCAATCCATATCACTAGACAGTAATTTAGAAGGAAGACGTCACAGAAGAGCTTTTTTTCCACAGTGGCACAAATACAACACAGGGTTAAAAGACAAGGGCATGAAGAATCTCTGAGCTGTGCACATCACACAAACTGAAGATGAAATAATTCCTTTGTGGTCAGGCTGCTGCAATACTTAAAGGAAAAATGGTATAGCTGCCTGCCAAGAAGAAAAGCAAGGGGGGAAACAAATGGCTTGAAAGTCCAAAGCCTACTGAAGGAATCAAAAGATAAAGGCTTAAGTAGTAACAAATGGCTTTTCACCTCTAGCTCACTTGATTCGTGTCTGTCACGATCTAATACGGGCTAGATTCTGCCCTTAGAAAGTAGGTGCTCTCGATTCTCATTAGGATGGCATCCATACCACAAAATATAACCACTAGTGGCACTGACTACAGCAGTAGCTTGCTGAAGGCCAAGTGGCCATAAGACTAAACTGTGTTTATGTCTAATCTAGGCTGTAAAAGCCGCAGGGCAAGGTTCTGTTATTTTATTGGCCTCTCTGAGCACCTATGGCACAGAATACATAAATCCTTATTTCTCCCCTAACTTGTCTCTCAGGTCCAGTTTGAGACAGCTGAGCACAGTGTAGCAAATTTACACTGTGCCTGAATTATACTAGCATTACTGGTAGAGAGCTACCACTCTGATACCTATCACTAGCATTACATTCACTCAACAATAAACCAAAAATTTTCAGTTTTGAAATGTTAGACTACATCAAGTATTTCAAGCCAAAGCACAACAGAACGCTCCCCAGCATTCTTGAACTCCACTGGAATCCCCCCAGTATGCCAGTAAGAAACACACAAAGCACACAAACAGAAACAGGTCTTCTCAACCTACCTGCTTTGGAGTTTCTAAAAAGGAAACTTAACGATTAGAAAAGTCTGCAAAACACCATATGGAAAAACCACCGTATGGAAACCACATCTCTGGTGGGATGCCCCCTACCACCACAGTCTTTCTCCCAAACTAGGAAACTATTAATTGACTTAAAGATCCCACAACTAGTGACTAAATTGAGGAAATAAGGAATAAAGACATTAACGAGGGATATAGCATTCGGAAGGAAGAATAACAGGTCTAGCTGAATCTAGATCAAATATTTAGTAGAAATATAAAGATTTAAAAGATTTTAGAGAGCTTTTGAAAAATGAAGTGCAAACAACATTCTGCACTTGCAGGCAAATAAAAGAAACGGCAGGTAGAATCATGCCTGAAAGATTAACATTTCTGGTGGCAGCTTCAGAGACTTCAGTCTCTGCCAAGTTATCTAGGGATACAAGTTGCGCGACATAATTTCCAAGGCACCAAAGCCACCCCTTGAGAAATACAGCTGGAAGGCCCTCAAAGCCAAACCCCAAGCTGATAAAGCAGAACACCCGAGAGCTGTAAGAATATGACCCATTTAAGAGCACTGTGGTTATTTTTGACAGCTGCAACCCAGCATTAGAACAGCAATGCTGGGTCAAAAGGTGATCAATTGCAGGTTGTATCACATCCAGGAAACAGCTTAATTCACAGGCACTCCGATTTTACATTCTATTGAAGAAAAATAAAAGCTGGGGCGCGTGTGTCTGCTTGCCTAGTTTCATTTTCAGAGCCAGACTTAAGATAGCCTACCTTAGCTACTGCATAGCAACATTACATTTAAGATGAGAGCTATACGAATTCCTGATGTGGATAAGGAAAATTGCTTCCCCTCATCTAAGTACTTACAGGATGGGCCAGAACTCTACTTTGGCACTGTCTGCATAATTCAAACAGGGGGCATTACCCCTCAGGGGCCACCAGCCCAGCCCAGCCATTCACCCAGCTGGGCCCCTGCTGGGCCCTTTCCCAAGGAGCCTCCTAAAGGGAGAGGAGGGGCAGGGAGCACTTCTCCTGCCCACATGTGGATGTCCTC